TTTTTTTTTTTTTTTTTTTTTTTTTTGTGTGTGTGTGTGTGCCAGGCCTCTTAACCTAGAATGTGCTAGATGTGTTTGAAGGTAGGCAGCCCCACAGAGGAAAAGGCAATACTTGTGTGGTAGAGTACCCTGAAATGCAGCAGGAGGGTGAAATGTTCCTTCTTAGAAAGCTGAAAAATGTTTGCCATTGCTTGGCAGCAGCACTGGTTACTGGCAAAATCCCATCCCTTCTCATGAAATGGGATGGATGGAAATATGTTCTATTTTGATCTTCTTGTCTTGTGTATCCCTTTGATTTTGTGTAATGCATTTTCAGGCTGGCATCCTGAGAATCTATGCCATGCTTGTGCGCTACTCTAAAGACATCTGCACCCACTGGAATGCAATTGCTTTCCTACTTAGTGAACTATTTTCCTAAGGGATTTTTGTTTTGCCTGGTTCCACCTTCTAGTGTTAAGCCCACAATGCTTTCAGACAGTGCTTTGTCAAAAACATGCCCCCACTTTATCTTTGTGCTTTGTAAAGCATTTCAGGCTCTTAAATATATACATTTAGTGTTCTTTTTTTCTTTTGTAGTCTTTGATCATGGTATTTGCTCACCTGGTTCACTCTCAGCTGGAGCCACTTCTAGAGTTCCTGTGTAGTCTCCCTGGGCCAACTGGCAAGCCTGCCTTAGAATTTGTAATGGCTGAATGGATGAGTCGCCAGCACTTGTTTTATGGACAATACGAAGGCAAGGTCAGGTAAGGCATTGTATAAACTGGAATAAACTGTAATCTGCATGGAACAAGGGTCATACCTTATCTCAATGCTGGACTGAAATCTCTTCCTTCTTTGTCAGGCTGCACTGAACAGCACCTTAGTAAGTGGAGAGAGAGGGCCACAGTTGCAGAACTGGAAACTTTAAGGGTATTTTTTCTGTTTACTGCTTGATCTTTTCTGTGCTGGGACAGAGCCCCTGCCTTAATGAATAAGTAGAGAATGTACTAGAAAAAAATGCTTAGGAAAGGATCCGTGAGGAATATAAAATGTAAGAGTTGGTGAGTGCTACTCTTATAGAGATGTTGATTAGCATTTTATACGGTGCTTTACAGTTTTAAAGCACTGTATACAGTGATATTTCAAGTGTGATCCAGACCACCAGTAAGGGAAAGTGGCAGATCAACTGAAATAATACTCTCCGTAGTTGCCTCTGTAGCATTTTATAAAAAGTTAAGTGCCTTTCTAGTGCATTAGTGTTTGGTCCCATATTTGGGAATTTTAAGTGTGTTGTCACCTTGCTTTAGTTTTTTTCTGTGTTTTATTTCATTAATACTGTAAATTTGATAAGTACATGGGTAGAGTAGGAGGCTGTTTGTTGTAGTGGGTGAGCCCTGGTGCAAGAGTCACGGTGCAGTGTCACGGTGCCATTCTGCCACTGACATGCTGTTTAAATTCAAGCTGATTTCTTCAATTCTGTGCCCCTCTGTTGCCGCAGCAGCCTTACCTGGGGTTCTGGGGGCCTCCTGGGGCTTCAACCATGACTATTCTGCTGTGTGGAGCCTGGCTGGCGGTTCCAGGTGGCCCAGCTCTGCTTCTTAGCAGCATGCACTGTCCAAGTGTGTGTTGCTCCTTTTTTCCCCCGCAGTTTTTTTTTTTTTTTTTTCTTGACTGCTGGATATCCAGGGGTCAAAAAAACAAAAACCTGCAGGAAAAAAAAAACCTGGCCCAGTGCATGCTTGGGCAGTATGCTTTTGCAGCACGGAAAACACCAGACTGTGCAGTATGTGGCGCTGCAAACGTGCAGGGGTAGCACTTGCTAATATATCCAAGCCCCAAAAATGACCCTGTCTTCTAGGAACCCACAGTTTTATTGGAATTCAATAGGACCCAATTTTCAGAGTGCCAGAATAACTTTTGAAAAGAGACATGCCCATAAGTAGTTTACGTGCTTTTGAAAATTTTACCCAGTATGTCAAAACACTGCTTAATATATCAGGAAAGGTATCGAGCAATATTAAACAATATAACAATAGTAGAAACAGCAGAGATGCGGAGAAGGGCACAATGTAATTGAATGCTTTTGATATCTTGTGATATAAAGTAAGAGATGAGATTATAGTTGGAAAGGCAGCCAAGGTTCAGGAATGGCACTTTGAGCCTTGGGAAAAGAAGGTGTTCAAGTTGTTAGGGTACAGAAGGTATGAGCTAAGGGACAGGCTTGGGTCACCATAAAGTTCCCTTTTTACTAGTAAGGGGATGAGAGAGAATCACTGTGGAAAAATGAGGGGAAGGCAGGGGACCTTAAGCTTTGTGGTGTCAGGGCTGCCTGCAAAGGTCTCTGGGGAAATGAGGATTTTACTGTTTTCTCTTTTAAGAAGTCTACAAGATTTTGGGCATAGAGTGAGAGGAGAAGGCTTCATATAAATGCTAGTGTCTGAACAAGTATGAAAACAGATGCTACATTTGAGGTGGCTCTGGTTGAGTCAACCTGAGACAAAAGCAGCATAACTTTTTAGGTACTTTGCCCTTCTGGCAGTTAACTTGAATAAACCAAACTCTAAGGCACATTTTATCTTGCATACTTCACAGGTACTTAACGTGGGACAATGGGCAGGATATCAAGACAAAAGTCTTTTTCTTTGGGGAAAAAGGCAGTCTGTTTTTACCCAGCATGTGATTTTTCTGCCCAGTTGTTACCCTCAGGAAGCCACTAATAAACTGTAGACAGATCTGTCCCTAGTGGGGGCCATGAATCGGGGCAACTCCCCTGGACCCTGCACTTTAGGGGGCCCGGTGGAGTGGGACAGAGCAGTGGTGGCGCAGAGCTGGGCAGAGTGATGGTTCCACATCCAGCCACTTGCTACCCACCTGCCGACGCCGCCACTGGCATTGGCGGCAGCAGCAGCTTCTTCATGTCCGGGGCCCAAATGGGCTTCTTTGCCCTGGGCCCTGCACCTTGCTTGGGTCAGCTCTGACTGTAGATTTAGTTGTTTGTCTAATTTTATTTCCATTTTGGTTGGAATGTGCCAAATTACTGTAATTTTTAGGTAGTGTTGGGATGATGTTACAGCCATGATAGTCCAGGAAAAATGTGAGAAGCCAGGATTTTTGTGGGTGATATCTTTTACTGGATAAACTGTATGGCTGGGAGGCACAGGATAGGCAAGCATTTATTTACTACTGTACCCTTCCTCTGATCACTTTAAATAATGTGAAAGAAAAGCACCAAACAAGTGTTCAGCACCATCAAATTACTTATACCCTGTAGCTATTTTCTCTTACCTGTTCTTTTCTTTTGTGTGCCTTTAGTACATCTCCACCATTCATCATC